AAAATGCCATCAAGTTTGTTTTAGTCCACATCATCAATTTTTTCCATGTGGCATTCTATTGATTAGCGTGTAATAACACGTCAACAATGAAAAAGAAAAAAGACAAAATATTTAACAGATTATAGTGCCACTTTGTCACTTAATTGACGGAAGGACAAAAAAAGGGTCGGATTTTGAAATTTAGGGACTAAAAAGGGGATTTTTTCGATACAGGAATCAAAAAGGGACTTTTTCCTATAGTAGAGGGATCAAAAATGGTATTTAACCTAAAAAATATATATAATATATTTTTAATATGTGTGTTGCAAATATAAATTAAAATTTTTTTTTCCTTCTAAAAATGGCCATGCGTGCATAAAATTTCGTGACATTATAACTTCCCCAAATATAAATAAAATAGCATCATGGTTCAACAATCATAAACCGACTTGTAAAGTGTATCTTTTAATTCGAAAATTGGGGTTTGATAACCGACTTGTAAAGTATATCTTCCAATTCGAAAGTTGGGGTTCGATTCTTCTTACCTGAAAAATTGTAACCTTGTTAAAATATATATATAAAACAGCAGTACGGTATGTCGTCAAATAGCTTCTAGCCGCTGATTATAAATACTTAATCTTGTCATCATCCACAACTCTCAACCCAAATTAATTTGTTAGGCAAATTAAAGTTGTCCTCAACCAATATTTTCAACTACTTTTAGCAGCACTCGTGGGCAGTTCTGTTCATCATTTTGTTAAGTATATAGACATATACAAGGACTCAATTACAATTTCACTTATCATCGATACGACTAACAATATAAAGCGACAATTCAAATATGATTTATTAATAATTTGAAAAAAAGAAAATGCCTCTTGACCAGAAAATGGAATCTGATAAATACTAATTGCTCTATATGCCGCCTTTGAAAAAGGTTTAGAAATTGCAGGTACATCATTCACTCAACATTTTTGGGTCCCTTACGAAGTTTCCATGCAATTTCCTCCTGCCAGAGCCCATACGTTATCATTCACGTTCTCCCTGCAATTTCCACACACCGCTTTCACATCCAATCCAAATCTATACTCTGTATATTATATAAGAGCCATTCCCTTTCCAAGAACACCACCAAAAGTCTAATTAATCCCCTCTAACTTCTTCTTCTCATTATAATTAACGAAATTAATGGCATCTCCCAAAATTTCCAAGGCATCCAAATGGTTCAACAACAGCAGCAAGAGCTTCAAAATAAGCTTCCATCGACTCCGATCAATGTCTAGCTTAAGACAAAGCACTCGATCTCTCACAACATCGCCTGAGTCCCCACCACCTACACCTAAGACAACGACGAGGGAAGATGAGCTCAAAGAAGTGTTTCGCCGTTTCGACAGTGATGGAGATGGCAAAATTTCCGCCCTTGAACTTAGGGCTTTCTTCGCATCCGTAGGAGAGTACATGTCACACGAGGACGCTCAGGGTGTTATCGAGGAGCTTGACACGGACGGGGATGACATGTTGGACTTTGATGATTTTTTGAGGCTGATGAAGAGAGAATCGAATAATGAAGAAGATCTGAAGAAGGCGTTTGAGATGTTTGAGTTGGAGAAGGGTGATGGATGCATAACTCCAAGAGGGTTGCAGAGGATGCTGCAACGCCTAGGGGATCCAAAGTCTTACGATGAGTGTGTGGCTATGATTCAGGTATATGATACGGATGGAAACGGAGTCCTTGATTTTCATGAGTTCAATCAGATGATGGCTTGATTTTCGTGCGTACGTAACGTATGTACATCCTGTTTTGTAAGTAATTTAATTTCTTGAATTCGTGTGGTGAAACTCATGTTGTGGGAAGGAATTTGCATGAGTACGGAGAAAGAAAATATATCCATCTCTCAATTAACTATAATCTTTATCCCAGGCAAGTTTATTTGGTGTTGTAATAAAGTATGATGGAAATCAGAGGATAAGTATATTTATAAACATAATGGTGCGTGACAACCATCTGTCTTGGAATCTCGTATAATATAGATCTGCGAATGAAGTACGAGGGGTGTCTTTTGTTGTTTTCCTTTCATGATGAAAGAAAATATATGGTGGGGTTTGTTTGATTATTTTGTAAATTGTTGCTATAGTATTCTCCTTTTCATTCTCACAATGATATGCAAATTGTTATACTTAGGAATACTAATTTCTGTATTGTAAAATTCTGATCATGTTTTTTTTTTTTTTCTTAAAAAAATATATTTAGAGTCTCTTCGGTTTATTAGATTTTTTTTTTTGTGTGTGTAAAATAGAGAGAAATGCTATTTTTTTACCTTTTTCAGAAGATGTGACAAAGAATATAACATGTGAACTTTCTTATTTTGGAAGAGTGATGAAAGGAATTTTGAAGATAAAATACCAAAATTATCCTTTATTTGTTGTAAAATTGAGGTGAGTAGTAAACAGTTAAATACCATTAAAATTTCCTTGATAAAATGAAACCAAACACAGCCTTGAATTCGAAGCAAAGTTGTGTCATGAACCGTGTATCGCGTGGAGAGGACAATCTTGGCTTTAGCGGCACGATTAGAAATACGGTAAGTTCGCTTTTCCCATCTTTTTTCCTTTCTCTTTTATGGGAAGGAAACAAAATTTAACGGGCAGTCCGTGATGCTATGTAGTTATACAGGCATCAACGTGACTTCGAAACCATGAACTTAATCTGTTCACCGCCCAATTGTATGTTTTCAATTGTGTTTAAAAGCTGACTAGATTCGAGAAAGGAAATCACATGGTTGTGTTTAATAACTGATCACATTTGAGAAAGAAATTATACAATGGTCGACCAAGTCACAAATTTAACCCTAAATCAAGGTTTTTGATATTAATAATATTAAATTAATTGACTTAAGCAAAAAGGACTGGAAATTAATATAAAGATATATATTATGGAGAGAGAAAATTACAGTGATGTTTTACAAAATTTTTCCCACAACTACTGCAATGCAAGCTAAGCTGATAGTGATTGATTCCCATAATATTTTAGGGAAAATTTAGTGCCATTGACTTGGGCAAGCTTTGCATGTAATCTGGAAGAGCTAGTTTCTCTCGAGGAAAATATACACATCATATATTTCGATGGGAAATATGGAGCTGCATTCTTCGAAGAAAATTAATGTAAAAGCAAACGTCCATAATTCAAGTGATGATCGTGATTCAAACAAGACAAATTTGTAAAATGACAAGAAATGACCATGATTGATCAAGCAAGGAAATTGATGACAGTAAGACCAAACCAGCTGAATCTCAGCAACACTCAATTAAACATTCAAGTACTAAATCAGGATCTTGAGTAATTATGGGACCAATGGCTCTAAATCAATAGATTGAGTGATTTTAGGCCAACGACTATTTTTTACATTTATTTCTTTCAAATCTTGTAATTACAATGTACATATATTAGTAGAATGCAGCCTCTTCCATATCTTGGGGAAGAGTCCATTTTCTCACAAAGCATTTATTTTTATTTTGTCTTACAGAAAATATATATGTAGATTGAGCTGTGGGCATGTTATTATGGGTATGTTTGGATTATTTTCCTGAAAAACATATTTTTTCAAGATTTTTTCAGAATATTTTGATATTTATATTCTCATAACTATAATAAATTAATAAAGGGGAAATGTATGTTAAATAAAGAGTAAAAATGTACCCCCAAAAAATAATAATAAAGAGTAAAAGTGATATTTTTAATTTTTATTTTTCTTGATGCGGTTTTCAATTCGTAAACATTTCTTCATATCCTTTTCACCAAAAAAAAATTTATAACAAATTTCCATATATAAGATTTACTTAATAATTTCTTACAAAAAATAATAAAATTAACAATATAACAAAAATTTAACAAAATTTTATTATAAAAATTATCAACTTCTCATATAATAGTTTAATCAATCACTTTTTCAGGAAAAAAAAAAAAAAACTGAAAAAGTTGATCTTAACCAAACACACCCTGAAGTCTTTTCTCTCAAAAAAAAAAAAAAAAAAAATCATGCAGAAATAAAAACCAATTAATGCCAAAAAAATTTATTATACGTGGATTTTTTTTTTTGGTCCTGCCAAATTGTGAATAGTTGGGCAGAAGTATATTGTTTTATTTTTTTTTAGCTTATATATTACCATATTGATCTTCTTTTTGATAGCTTTGTTATCTGTTCAAGAGGTGAAGATATTTGGCTAATTTTCTTGGTAAGTGATGAATTTTCCTTTTTCAAGTTTTGCAATTGTTGGTTTGAAATTTTTGTGAAGCAGTCATTTTTTGAGGTTTTTTTTTTTTAATTAATATGTTGAGCAATATTTGAAGAGAATAATTATTTATTTGACTTGTCATTAATATTGTCTTTTAAAGTTTTTCTAATTTTTTCTCCTCAATTTCTTTCTTCTAGACACAACAGGAATTGAATCAATTTCTCTATGCATGTTATGTTGCTGAGTATTCCTCTTCCGCCTTTGTGGTTGCTGAGAATCTTTTATTAATTGAAATTATTAGTAATTATTTTTAATTAATATAACCAATGGACAATCTAGGTGTAAAGGTTAAAAAAAGTTTGGAGAAACTCCAATAATTCAAAACTATTCAAACAAAGAAAGATAATAAAATTTTTTTTTAATGTAACAAAAAATAATAGTAAAATATAACTATAAAACAGAAGCCAACAACATATAAATAATATAGAAATTTCATAATCTCATTTTGTTTGTTCATTGAATTATTGAGATAAAAAAATATATCTTACATTGTTGTCATTTGATCATAAATTTAAGGTCAAAGTTTAGAACTCTCATTCATTCATACAATCTTATTCTAAAAAATTTACCTAAAAACGGAAAAACTCAACTAAGTATCCAACATAATAAAGTTCTTTTATAAAATTTCCATGTCTTCAATCAATATTTTCCCAAACACACTGTTAAGTTCAACACATTTTCACACTGCATACAACATATCAACTGCAAACTCGTAAAATAGAATCATAGCTAAGAACCAAGGATTTGATTGATAACCAAGACTATTTATTTTAACATTTCAAGGAAAAAAAAAAAGGTTACATATTAGGGTCTTGTAGGAACATGGACCGTTGCTAATTATTTACCCATGCACATCCCCAAAGTCTCCTCCTTCCGATCTCTCACATCAGTCCTTTCTTCTTCTTTTGTCTCACCTCATTCTCTAATTGTAAGGTGTTGCAGCATGTGGGTTCTACATGGTGGTTGAAAAAGCATGCAAATTTCAGCCTTTGAAATTTGGATGCATGGAAAATCTTGTGGCAGCTCAATTTTGTTGAAAAATTGGAAGTCTCATGGCAGTCTTTGAAACGGAAATTACTTGCTGCAACTTTGTCCATGCTATTAGGTTCTCTTTGTATTTTTATGATGATTTAAAACCATGATTCAAAAGAGTTTAATCTATTTTTGTGCTAAGTGTGCAGGAAAATTAATCCAAGGTTTCTAATCTTTCCCCACGATTAGAATTAATTCATGTTCTCCTTGTTCAGAGTTCTGAGTTCAAATCAATTTATTTTGGTTCGAATCAATCCCGAACTTTTGTTTTCCGAAAATGGTTCGAACCTTTATTTCTAGCTTCGAAGCAAAAATTCTGGAAGGGTAAATTTTAACAGCTCAACTATCCATTTATTTTTATTTTGGGCCTTGGGGGAACCAATTGTCTGAGCCTTTCCAAAGTCAAGTCAAAAATAGTAAAATAGGTGGAATCTAATTGGAGCATTTGTGAGGTGGCTTTGAAGGGCTAAATGGACTTTAATTGCAAGGCTCCAAATCCCCTATTATAATGATAAAAAATTCAAATCTGGAAAACATGAAGAAGGACGAACTGCTCCAGCAATACAGAAAAACAGGGTTTGTTTTTGAAAGTGTTTTGGATCTCATTCTTCTTCTCTTCTTGTGAGCTTTTGGGTTAATTGTCTTATAAGGGTTTTGTATTCTTCTTGGATTGGGATAATCCTTGAAGGGGTTGAGTGAGTTGAGATTCACTTGTGAGGGTTTAATCTTGCACCCGCAAGCAAGAGTTTGTTCCAGTTTAATCTTGCACCCGTAAGCAAGAGATTTCTAGTGGATTAAACTCTCGAGCAAGGAGGCTTGGGGAGTGGACGTACTTCGGATTGGAGGAACCACTATAAATCACGGCTTGATATTCTCTTCCCTTTTTTTTTTTTATTTTTTTGCACTTTATTTGCAAGATTGCAGTTGATCTCTATTTTATTTTGCACAACATATTATACATATATATTGAAAACTTAATTCACGTTTTTATAAAGAAAATGAAATGAGTTTTATATCTGAGGAATTGAGGGGCAGCTAGCTGGGATTACACATGCAACACTTATTGTGCATGGTTGGATTATGACTTTGGAGCCCATTGCATTTATTCCAACATAAGGAATGGAATGTCTATGTGAGAGGAGAAGAAATTTTTTTGAGTGCGGGGGATATTTTTGTAAGTGACAAATGGCATACCTTTATGAGAGAAGAATAACCTTTTTTAACTTTGGAAGACAATTTTGTAAGTGACAAATGACAAACCCATGGGAGAGGAAAAGAAATTTCTTTGAGTTTGAGGGG